ATTTGAAAACTTAAAGCAGATTTGTTTAATAAATTGATACAAGACTCCTCCTACTCTTTTTGATATAACATTTATTACAGTCAAACCTCGTTATAACGGATCTCGTTATAACGGATTTTTGTTATACCGGAATAATTCAATCATTTCATAGTAATAGCAATAAAAATTATAATTTATACGGAATTTCCGTATGCAAATTTTTTATAGGGGAGGTATGCTGAATCGGATTCAGAGCATTCTAAAAGAATTAATCGAGAGCTGATTGATACTGAATATAAGAAGGCAGCGGAGGTATTTAAAATGTTAAAACAAAAGACACCTATCAAGGAGTGAGTTTTTGCCATTTTGTCTAATGCTAGTCGGGTTAATACCCTGAGAGTTGTGAATCTTTCTGATAGATGTGCCATAGTTGATCAAACAAATTTTCAGGATTTCTACGGGTACACATTCTTAAGTCGTGCACAATTTTCCGCAGGTATGTCATCAATTATGGGAGCTTTTTTTGAACTTTTATTCATGTATTATTATTATTTTATAGTAAATGCCAAAATTCACATTAATTCCGCAAGATCTTATGAATTGAAACTCATACGTGGTATTAGGACCATAATAGCAGAAAAATTGAGTCAGAAAGAAAAAGAAAGTTCTTTGATACAATGGATGATTTATTGTAACGCGTTCCTAAATTTCCTTGATCAGAGATTCATCTTTCATTATAAATTTGACGCTCAGATTAATTTATTCATATTACAGTTGGATGAGTTATCAATTCATTAATTGTTTTGTTAGGTGGTCCCTGAATATTATTCCTTAAAACATGTGTATTAGTAAAATATTATAATGATGGAATATTCAAACTGAATTTTCAAAAGGATTAAAAATTAAGTTTATTCATTCATTTTACTTTTTATTTTATTTTTTTTATTCATAGAAAACTATTAGCATAATAATATATTAGAAAGAGATAATGTTTTTTTAAAAAAGAATAATTATTCACAAAGAAACTAATATTATTAATAAAAATGGAAAAATGAAAAATTTTTGATAATAAATATACAGTAATAGTAATACCAATTTTGTAGATCATTCAGAACTGAATCTCTACCGACTAGATATTAATATGGTTTTCATGTCTTGTATAATGATCATTATGATTTTATGATTACGACTATTATTAATATTTTTTAAGACATCTATGCCTTCCATCAACAACTTCACTTCTAAATGTTAAATCATCACGATTGTAGTTGGCTCCAAAAATGCAAACGGGAAATTAAATTCCGTCAGCCACTGTAATTCCGTAATAGTAATAGTAAACACAATTGATTATCCGTAATTCTGATATTAATATTAACTGTTAATTATATATTACAGAACAGATTACCAGGTCATTTCTTGATGATTCCTTGCCAATCTAATGACAACACACGACTCAGTTAAATTGATGCATAGAAACTGGTTAAGCCATAATTTTTTGCCTTTATTATTAACTGGAACCACTTCTATCCAATAACCTGAATTTTTATTTTAACAATAAAACACATTTGTAATAAATAATTACGAAGCAATCATCCCTACGGAATCACGACAGCCAAATTATTTACTATTACAGTGTAAGTGGCTGAAATATTTACGGAATTACGGTTTTTAAACTTTCTTGCCGTAATATTTATTATTATTATTATTATTATTATTATTATTATTATTATTATTATTACGGGTTTTTATAGTAATTACGGAATTATGGAGCATAATATCAAACTTTTGAGGACATTTTCCTTTTTTTGTAAACAATTTTAATTTTGTGATTACTTAGCAAGCTCACACTACTCCAATTCGCATCTTACAATTCCTTTACTAATAAGAGAACCTAATAGCATAACATTTCTTTTTCTATCAACAGCTGCCACTGTAACGAAATTAAGAAAGCTTCCATCATCTTGATACACAATTTCTTTAGAGTATTTTACGCCGTAGAATTTATCTTCATTTGTATTATTACTAATTTTTACGATTGCACTTGGTACGTGTGTGTCATAATAACCCTCTATGAAGATTGCGGCTGGTATAAGCTTTGGGAATGCTTTATTATTTTGAAGTAAAAAAAAAAAAAGTTTATATAAATATTAATAATTAAAAAACAAATCCTGACCAATCAACGCATATGTTTAATAAACTTGATACACTTACTAGCCAAATAAATTTCACCAGTAGTGTCATCAACACTAATATTATCTGTAGAATCAGTTTTAACAGTGTCCAATAATTTGAGTTTGTTGTCATGTTTTCGTTCATATATAAACAATTTACCACTTCCAGAAGTTCCCAGATAAATACGTGAATTGTCCCAATTACCATCTATTCCATTAGGATAACTTATTTTATCCGCAACTATTTCCGATTTATTATTAACCCCAGAATAAAACACAACGTTTGACCATGGACGACGTGCAAAAACTATATATATATAAGAGAAAGAATTAAAAAAATTTTCCACCAATAACCATTGATAATTATATATAATTAAATTATTCTATTAAAAAAAAAAAAAAAAACAAACATTCAAATTCTTTTTTAAATCCTTTTCTGTAGTATAAATCATTTGTAACGTAGAATTCATTTTTAGAGACAGGCAAAAGATTGTTTGGTGAACGAATCAAATCATCTTTGATGGTTTCCAAATATTGTAATTCTTGTGACCCAATTTTATGATTAAAAATCTCAACCACGCTTCCTGATCGTTTATGATTAATCAGAAACATGTATAAATTATTATGATCAGCTGGGTCTTGATAAATTCCTAATGCGTGAAGAACCACATCCTCATCATCAGGATAATTTTTAAAATTGAGTGGTAACAAAAGTTCTGACTGATTGTGATATAGGGGAAGGAAGGAAAAATAGGGAAGAAGGAAAGAGAAATAAAAGAGAAAATAATTTTAGTTAATAATAAAAATAAAAATTATTCATATATTCATATATTCATTCATATATACATCAATTTTGTAGACGAAGGCTTGTTCTCTATATTGAATACTCTGATTTTTAAAAACTCCAAATGGTGGATACCAATGAGTTTTTCTAAGTTCCGAATTGCCACAAGTCATAAAAGCATATCCACTTTCATGATGAATTACAATATCTTCACAAGCTTCTAGACCTTTTTCTTTCAATTGAAAAATAATTCATACATATACTTTCTACTATTTCTTTCAAGAAAATTACCATGATAATAGTAATAATATTTATTAATCAAACCTTCTATTTTTCTACACTTGTCACCAGAATAGGCTCTAGATTTTTCACTAAGCAACCCGGAAAAAGAAATTAAATCATAAACGGAATTATAAGAGAGTGCAATTATCACGATAATGATAGCTAAGAAAATGGTTGTTCTGTTTTGCATTTTTTTTCTCTTTTTTTTTTAGTAAAAAATAAAAATCGAGAAATCAATCGGGACCATGTGTAGATGACACATTTTTATTTCCATTTTTGATTAACCTTAATTTAATTTTAGAATTTTCATAGTAAATATAAAATCATGCTCACCTTACTCATTGAATTTTTTTCACTATTTCTTGCTTAATTTAATTTGTTGAATGCAACATCTAGTTGCCTAAGAAATTTCCTAGAACAAAAAAAAAAGAACTTTTTTATTGGAATTATGTTATACGATTAATCAAAGTAAAAGAGAATTAGGCAAAAATGAAGACTATTACTATCTAGAAATATAGTTTTCTTCGTTCGCATTAAATTATCAAAGAATTCAAACAAAATCAAATTACCAAAATTTAAAATATGTTAAATAGACATCATTAATAATTGATTAGATTCTTGATGTTGATTGGATTTATGAAAATCATAATAATAACAAATTTTTGATTGTAATTTTCTACCCCAAAAAAATGCACGAAACAATGAAGAATATTTATTATATATATATTGTTCATGTGATATTTTTATAGTCACATATTCTATATTTATAATTATGCAAGACAAGTTACCTGGAAAGTTGCAAAACAAGGCAAAAAACTCAAAGGAATGAAATTAACAAGTTTAAAAATGAAATAAAAGTAATAAAAACTAAAAATACAAACATTCGTAAAAAAATCAAAGAAATCCGAAACAAAATAAAAATTAATTATGAAATCAAAGTAGAATCCACTTTTTTTTTTTTTAATTTTCATATGACTATTAATAAATAATAATATTTAAATTTTTTAAAAAAAAACTCGGACATTTATTAGTGATTGTGATGTGATTGATTGAGGAATAGTGTAAGTGATTAGGGAAATTTGAAATAATATCATGAATGAATGAATGATGGATAATATGGGGCATACTGCAACAAAACCAGACAAAGTGAACATTGGTATTACCAAGAATTACAGGGATCAAAATTTAGTCATTTGTAATGTGTGTTAAAATTAGCAGTTTTATAATATCCCATTTGTTATCTTAAGTGATATATAGAATTATCCCTATATAAAAATAGTTAATATGAAACTCATTTACATCAGATCTACTATGGAACCCAAG